GCGGTGAGCCGGCGGGGTGCCCCCCCCCCCCCCCCCATAGGCATGAGATCGTCACCTATTGGTTTGTCATGGCTTGGATTTGCTTGGGCAGCTGTGGATCAAGACTTTTTTATCTAAGCACATTTAAAGCTGAACTACAACACACTGCTAACTCCACAGCTGAAATGCATATAATTGAGCTGTTCCATCTGCGGAAGGATTTGTAATTTTGTCTATCCCGTTTTCACATTTACACAGCTCTGCTGGACCACATAGCCCTCTTTGGCAGGGAAGGACAAATTATCTTTTTCTGCTGCAGTTCAGTAACACTTTTGTGTCTCCTCGCTACCCCTTACCCAGTGATTGGACAGGGAAAGGAGAACCAGGAGCCCGATGAGCTCATCTCTCCAGCGTATTGCTTTCTCCTCCTATCAGCATGCACTTTGCACTGCAGCACAACTGATTTGGGTCTCAGTGCTGCTTTTCCCTCCCCCTCTCTGAGCTCTGCTATAGGGACTGCAAGAGGCTGATTTCCAGGTCAGATTTGAGGTGCTTGTACTGTTTGTATTAAAACCTAACCAGGTAGAACAAAATAAAAAAAGCCTTTGCAGTGCCACCCCTCCTGCAAGGGTTTAAATTCTCATCCACACTAGGGGGTAGAGGAAAAGACTGTATTACTTACAGCTTATTACTGTACCCCCTAGACTTAACAAGCATTACCCTTGCAGTGTGGAGGGTCCCACTCCAGGGTATTTTTTTTTGTTTTGTTTTTTTCTTGTGCCTGGATTTGAGCACATACAAATATAAAAGGTAATTAAAACATTTTTTTTAAAAGGAAGTACTTATGAATATAGAGCTGCACTAATTTGTGTCTATCTGTCTGGAGTTCATCTGTAAGCGGGAATAATAATATGCTAATGACCACCAGAGGGAGCATTAATAAATCTGCATATGCCAATTTCATGATGTAATAAACAAAAAACCCAAAATCACATAACATTTTTTTCTGCTAAATGTTTAAGTAAAAATACTGTGTATGCAGCAAGAGGATACTTGCAAAGCAATGCACTGTTTTCCCCTTTAGTCACTCACCAGCTCTTTATGTATTGAAAGCCCTGAATATGAGCTGTTCCTTCTAAGGCTTAGCTCATTGGCCAGTTTATCTGCAGATTTTCTATGTTCAGATGGAAAAAGTGCAACAGATTCCTCCATCTACGCTAAACTGTGTGGATGGAGTAATCTCCCACTGGGCCAAGTTCCAGTATCTTGCTAGTCGGCTCTCAAAATACCTGAACAATGCCTGCATCCAATCAGATTGTTCAGGTATTGACAGACAGAGGGGCCGATTTAGCAAGATACTGAAGCTTGGCCCAGTGGGAGATTCTCCATCCACACAGTTTAGCATAGATGGAGGAATCTGTTGCACTTTTTCCATCTGACCATAGAAAATCAGCAGATAATCCATAAGGTGTATGGCCAGCTTAATATGTTCCCTAATTTGGAGTAAATGGAGAATTCAGTGGCATCTATGGGAGACGGCTGGAGTAGAAACTGGTGTCTCTGAGAAATATAAGGAGGTAATGGGGAATGAACCCACATTTGTCCATTAATTTGAATATTGGTTTTGAGTGGCTTGAGCATACCTCCAACCTAATACGCGAGAGTGGCACTTTTAAGCAATGAATATATCGGCATAGGCTGCACTTCACGCATCATATGGACCACAGCAAAATAAAGGGCAAAAATTATCCTTTAAACCCACTAGGGCTTTTATAATAACTAGAGATGCACTGATACCAAGCATTTGGGCGAATACTCGTACTCACCCAAATGCTCCAATGCCTAGCCTGGTACTTTGAACTTCAGGTATCAGGAAGCCGGGCAGTGGTCATTACATGCTGCCCGGCTTACTGATTGGCTGGGAAGCTTGCTCCATGGTCCCTCGTCACTTGGCCCTGTTAATCGGGAAGCTGGGTGACCAGTCTACACGCCGCTCAGCTTCCTGGCTAATCGGGAACGTTATTACATGCCACCTGGCTTCCTTAATGGGACTACCGTTATCTGATAACAAAAAGAGAAAAAAAAAAATATATCGGCACTCGATATTGAAAAACCGGTATCAGTGCATTAATAACCAATTGGATATTCTGAGGGTTCAGCAAAGTTTAGTGCAATGTAAACCATTTTGGCAGTTACATAGTACATTTTTGTATCCAGACTTCTACAGCAGAGCGAAAAAGGTAATTTGAGGAGGAATGAAGGACATAAGGATTTAATAACAAAGGGTGACAGTCCCTCCACATTTAGATTTGGAGGTCCAGTTGGGGGCTTAGGGTTTAGGTTTTTAACTGTCTGCTGTTCATGATGGTGTAAAACTGAACTCCAACATTATATTGAATAGTTATTTGTTCCTTAGGACATCATAACATTCATTTGTTTAATTGAATGAGCTTAAAGGTGCCCATACACTGCTCGATTCTCGTACGAGAATCGCGGGAAATCCCGCGATCGTACGAGAATCGAACAATGTGAACGAAGACGTGCGACCGTTTCTAATGTACGGTCGCACGTCTTTTGTCTAAGGCGCATGTTAGAAAACCAGCCGAGAATCGTAAGATTTTCGGCTGGTTTGAACAGTGCTCGGGAGACAAATGCCGAACGGGCCAGTGTGCGCACGCGCACACTGCCCGTTCCGCATTGCGGTCATCGGAAGCCCGCCCCTCGGGGGCGGGCTTGCGATGATCGAGAGTGCGATCTGCCTGTCCAAGATGGGCAGATCGTACGTTTTTTTTTTAATCACTTTACAACCATCGCAAGACTAAGGTCTTGCGATGGTTGTACAGTGTATGGCCACCTTTTAAGGCTCTATTGGTATCACCCTCCTATATTCCCCGGCAGACTGGATGAGCCAGTAAGAACCTTTTAGTTCAACTTGTTGTCACAACCATGTTGAACGCTTGTAGACCTCACTATTTACCAGCATGTTCCATTCAATAATACTATAGGACATCCTTCTGACAGCAGAATGCTGGATGCAAGATATTGCTCTGATACCAGCTAGTTCAGTTACTCTGTCCGCTGTCTTTGTCATTAAGTCTGCAAAACGTCTGGCGTGCCTAAAGAAAAACATTTACCGCAAACGCAAACTTAATTTTCAGATTCATAAACTCATTTGTCATTCATAGTCGTCTGGTAACTGGCATAATTGAAATCGAGGCATCCTGGCGTGTTTGCTGACAACAGTGGGCACATTATTGATGCCACAAACTATGATGGCAAGACTAGGCCTGAAAAATGAATAGGTCTGACGTGTGTGTATGTTTTCAGTGGGATCTGTGCAGCCACAGCCTGCCATTTAAAGTCAGATGAAAAAACGACCATTGCTTTATCATTCCCAGCTTGGTGTAATATTAAACGCGGTTAATTCGGAGTAGAAACATTGCTCCATTTCCCAGTGACACACTGTCTGCTCTAGAAAGGTCAATAATGGTGATCCTGGAATTAGGTAACATTGCTTGTGAACACCATAACATATGGGGCCAAGGTACAGATGGGGAGATGTAAAATCCATTGCTATTTATAATGACAGTGACAGTCCTGTAGTGGTGCACAGCTAGTCAAAGCAGTATTGCAATGTCTACTTATTTATTTAGACGACCCCCCTCCACCGCCACCTGAAAATGCTGGAATTTTTTTTTATATAAAACACTTGGTGGGGAGGGGAGGGGAGTAAATGAACATCCTTAAAGTAACCCTGCTTCTACCTATGTTTCTTGGGCTAGGGTGATATTAGAATTTTTTCCATGGAATGGCAGGTAGCCTAAATCTTGGTAAAAGATGATACTGCTCTGTGCTGTATTGTCACCTTGTAAGAAATGGGATACCTGGCATTCCCCAAAATATAACCCAAAAGAAAGGTGTCGCCGCCCCCTGCAGCATGGAAGCAGGGGTAATGATAAATGTTGGGGAAGGGAGCATGGAGTGCAAAGTCTGCTTTGACTGGCCCAAAACATCAAATACAACCATCCTTGGGTGCCTACTCTATTTTACTTGTTTTCATTCTGCTGCTTGGTGTCCTTGGATGCTCTCGTATGCATTTATCAGTGTTCATAGCTTCCTACTGCCTCCCACTCCTCAGTATTGATGCATCTCTATGATGGGTTGCATTTTTCCAGTAGCAAGGTGCAGCAAATGGGCCAACTTGTTATATTGATAGAAAGTGTTGAAGTTTAATTTTAAGAGCACCCTTGATTATGGGGACACCCAACCCTAAGCATTGGACCATGCATACAAAGCTATGCCAGGGACTTGAAGGTGCCTACTATTGGTCCATGGAGTCATTTGACTAACAGGGTTATGCACAAAAGGGTGAAGAGTTTGGAGAATGCAAGAGAAGTGAACGTTCTAGGACAATATAGCTGAACCAGAAAGTGAGCTGAGTTTGGAGATTCTTTTTCAAATCGGCTATGTTAACCTAGATGTTCACTTCTCCTGCCTTCTCCAAACACTTCACCCTTTTGTGAATAACCCTGTAAATGTACAATGTGACAAGGCAAGGTTGGCAATGATATAGAACAACATGAAGGGGCTGAAACAGTGGAGCCCCCTTGACATAGAGTTGCTTACAAAGCCTTTTATATTACTGTGTTTTAATAGTGTGGCTGTATGTGTGTTTCCAGACTGATTTTTCTTTGTTTATGATCTTTATAGGAAACATGCCCTTAACTGCCACAGAATGAAGCCGGCGCTCTTCAATGTGCTTTGTGAAATTAAAGAAAAGACAGGTAAGGACATCTGGCTGCAGGTAGACTGGCTCTATAATTGACCGCGAAATGCTCTGTCTTGAGGAGGAATTTGTCAACCAACAGTATGTGTTAAAAAGAAGTTTGTCACTTTTTAATGCTATTAGCTAGTTGTTTTGAGCTTGCATGGGAAATATGTAATTATCAGGGGTGGACAATGTGATGGCAGGTATTTCAGTGCGGGGGGAAAAAAGGCACAAGCCGTCATTTTAAATCTGAGATCAGTGTTTGGTATGCTTGAGTAACTGTCCAGATGCCCTTGACTACAACTCACATTTACTTTTCCTAATCAAGGTGAAAGCATTGTCCCTGCACACGGTTGGGGTGAAGGTTGATACTATCGTAAAATGCAAATAATATCTGCCGATTCGTGGTGTGAGTGAGCTGATATATAATACGCTGATGTCAGTTTGGGTCTTTGGGAAATGCAGCATTTAATCTACAGTTTTAAATGTGTGATAGAGTACTTGACTGGTGCACCTGTCCATATGTGGTTTTTCATTGATGGACGGTCAGATTTAGGATTGTGACCCTGCATACATACACCGTTTTTGGGAGCAGCTATAATTACAAAATTGCATGTTGTTGTTTTTTTTTTATTATTTATTTATTTTATTGAACCGGAGGGAAATCAAGACATGACAGCGCTTGGTTGTTTGTTTATTTTTTTTTATTTGAAAAAAAAGTGATTGGATAGATGTGTTGGGTTCATTTTCAGAGAGAGAGAGAGAGAGAGAGAGAGAGAGAGAGAGAGAGAATTGGGCATTCCTAGAAATTTTATCATGTAGAGCAGCCTTTCTCAACCTTTTTAACATGAAGAAACCTAATCATTCTTATATCCACAGCTTTTGAGATATCGTGAACAGTAAGTTGTAGTTATAAGAAAAAACAAAAGAATAAGGAATGTAGGGTAGGTAGCCTGTTTGACACTCCAGGGTAATCTATACTGAAAAAAACAAAAACACATTTTCAGTAATAAAATAACAATGACCAGAAAGGAAATGCAGACAGTAAAATTTATAGCGCCCTCCCACTGGTTGTCATTGAGGCCTTGTTCACACCAAATGCAGATCCAGTCAGGTTTCTGCACACGCAGTGCAGTGGGTTGTGCCGCGTTTTTGATGCGTTCCTGGCCGTTTTTGCTGGAAAAAAAAAAATATATTTTTTTAAGTTTAACATGGGCTTTCAGGCACTTGCATGCGTTTTTGATGCGTTCCAGAGCAGGTAAAATAGGGCTGGCCGCAGTTTTTTCACCTGCTCTGGATCTGCTGCAATGTGAACTGGAGCTCAAAATACCATAGGAATACATTGGACGCAGTTTTGATCCGGTCTGCACCTGCTCTGCTCTGGATCTGCTCCGCGCTTGGTGTGAACAAGCCCTGAAGGGCTCTAGTACACTGGTAGTCAGCGGAAAGAATGCTTTTTGCATTTGTGGTCATTGGAACAAATGCCTCCATTACAGTTACCTGAATAGCTCATTGGTGGCAGGGTGTAGCTTCTGTAAGAGGTAGAAATTGTTAGTTACTCAAGGAACCCCTAGCAATCTCTGGAGGAACCTTTAAAATGGAGGATGAGCTTTAAAATGGAAAATCAAGATATAAGATGGATAAAGATAATCACATTAAAGTGAATGGATGTGTGGCTAGTCCACATATTAAGGAGATCTGTGGAGCTCAGTGGTTTGTATGACTGGCTTTGTCCATCCTTTATGTTTTCGAGGCTTTACTTGTGTTTACAGAAGCAGTGATTGATGACACTTTGTGGTGCCGGTTTATATTTAAAAAAAAAAAACTGCACGAAAAAAGGTTACCAAAAATAGCCAAATTTTCATGTTTCCAGTGTATTAAAGTGCAATTGAACTTTCAGTTTAAATGAGAGATGGTTGTCCTCCAATAGCAGGAAGGTCCAGTGCAAAGACCTTCATGGCAGAATCACCAGGTATCGTTTTAAAGAGACTGCACAATTACAAAAAATAAAAAATGAATAAAAAATTTAACAACATATGAGATTTTAGTGGTTGGTTTTAGATAACTGTATCATAGAGCGAAAGACCATAAAATGCACTTTGTCTGTTTTTTATTGCCTCAGTGTTCTACAATGCAGTCCAAGTGAGGAGTCCAATTAGAGACAGTAGTATTTTTAAAAGACAGTTTGCATTGCCTAGTCTGTGTATTGCAGGAGAACGCGGCCTTTGAGAACGAGTCCTTAATGTATTGGGGAAAAAAAAAAGTTTATGGCCAACATTACTTACTGTGTTTAACTTCTTTTGTGCTCTGCTCAGTGTACCTTCCCCTACAATCTGTACAAAATGCACAGCCTCCAGCAGTATTCACTACCCGATTCCTACACTTGAACTCTTAGGTTTATGCTGTAAAGCGGTTCAAAGAGCAAAGAAAACATGTCCAGTGTAGCAGCCAATCATATTTCATTGCACTGAGGTTAGATCAGTGAAAACTAGAAGCAAACCTCTCCATTTTAAAATGCTAATTGCCTGGCTGTCAAGCTTCACTAACCATAAACAATCATGCAAGTAAAGAGTTTATACTGTACTTATCTCTTAAGCTGGGTATACCCGGTTATATTTTCTTCATTCAACCTGCAGGCAGAACAAAGAAAATATAGCCAATTCCTCCAACGCTTGAGGGTGTGGATAGAGGAATCCCCTGTTGCTTGCATTGTAATGTAATGTCGACCTTTAGGTTTACCGGTTTCCTCCAGACTCCATCGATCCTGAAATCAACTATTGTAGAGCCGGTTGGGGGGTGCTCATAGGGCCGCCCATGGCTAGAATTTCAGCTGAATCTGCATTTCTTCCTGGTTGATGGTTGAGTAAGTATTAAAGCTAGTCGGCATACCTACCAGTCAACTTTGATTGAAGGAGGTCAACAAGGGTGGCCTTCACAAAGTTTACTTTAAATCTGGTTGCTGTGCATTACTACACTTTGCAAAGAACCTATTGCTTTACTGAATAAGCTGCCTGATGACGTTTGGCAATCCTGTTGCTTTTTGCTCTTTTTTTTTTTTTCTCCTGGTAAAAGTGTCCATCTTTCCCCTTTTATTTTATACATTTTCCTTTGGTTTGCTGCCATTTAGCTTCTACTCCCACACTGCACTTAAGGCTATTCCTCTTTCCCTCTCCTGCATAGCCTCGCCTGCTAGTAGTAGGGCCATCAGTCCATTCAAGTCAGGCATGAATTACTATGACAGGCAGCTTGCAGGAAATGTTACCTGTTCTTCTGCATTCCAGGCTCTTGCTTTGCCTCCAGCACTTTTAACCCCTTTATATCAGGCACATAATACCCTAATGACACTGCGTGCATAATACACTAAAATGTATTCTTTAATATAAATGTAAATCTGCACTGCGGAACTTGGCAATATGTTAAATTTGCTGAAGAGGAGTAAATCACATGAGCCGTACATTAAAAAATTGTATTACAGCAGAATGTCGTGCACGACCCACGGCATGTAAGAGGGTCTTAGAAATAGAAAAAAGCCCTAGCGCAGCCTTTGCTCTAACAGGCTTGCTTGTGGTCTCAATAGACTCCATATATGTTTTGTCCAATATATGAAGAGTTGGTAACAATCAATGCATCTTTTGGGTTTTAGTGACTGCAGCAGTTGGCCTTAGCTCACCTCCATCATAATCAGGATGGTATATTATAAGCTTGTATGGGGCAGGAACTGATGCAGACCACACTTTAATAAGTGCTGTGCAATATACTGCCACTATATAAAAATGGGGAAGGCACCACTTAAAGCCATATGAGGCTGCAGCAATAAAGGAAATGATCTGATGGTCTTTTAAATTTAGATCTACTAGTTTATTGTATTTTCTCTGTTAACGCTGGCCATAGTCATCAGAGAACCCTCAAATGTGCATGCACAATCTAACCATCTCACAGGCAAAACATATGCCCTAAACAGAACTGCTTGGGCCAACAAGTTTCTCTTTAGGCATTAGATGGAATGAAACGCATATATAGCCGTGGAGCAAGCTTACCCCCAGAGAAACTCCAGCATTCATTTCTAACCCTTCCGGCGTCAATAGACTCTGAGGCTGCAACATTCTTGGAAGCCCATTGACAGTAAATGGTTGCTCAATTAATACTAAAATATGATGTATATGGAAACCTTAACAGCATACCTCTTATCTACGATTGTAAAATATATCTGCCGTAGGTGTGGACAGCAGGGCTTGCTTCCTACATGATAGAAAAGGCAAATGGAGAGGTGCGACTTTCATAATAATAAAAAAAAGTAATTGGTTGGTCATTTTGTAAGATGTAAAAAAAAAAAAAAGAATTGTAACGCTGTCCATGCTTATGATAATGATTGTGCGATACCATGATATAGATTGCACTACATGGGCAGGTCAATCAATTAATGATCCTATTTATGAAAAAGGGCAAATGGTTTTGGTGGTAATCCTAGTTGAATTCAATCCAATCGATCTTTTCTTGATTTTGTCAGATGTTTGTCTTAAAGTAAACTGTAATCTGTCTTTCAAGTGATTGATCTCTGATCGATCGTCTGCTGTTATGTATGACTTGATCTTGGCAGGGGTACACCTTGTCCTCCTGCTCCTATTTTCGAACATTCTTACTACTAGGTTCTTGTGAGCCTGTCCTGTTAACTTGTTCAAACATGTGATGTTTTATTGTATTAGGTTTTCCTGTGGTGCTGCCCCCCTCCCAAAAAAAACCCCTTGACGTTTCTACAGACATTGAACATTCATTTTAACAATGACTGCTGTACAAACAAACATGTATGTTCTCATCGGGTAAACCTTCATGCTAGTTCCTACTAAGCAAAAGGGTTCGCACGCAGGCGCCGACATGTCTAGGGGCAAAACACTCGGCATCGGCTGGGATATCATCCTGGGCGATCAGATCTTTCCCCAAATGATCATTCTTAAACAGCTGGATCTGGCCAACATTTTCTCTGGTCTGTGGGCACCTTTTTAGTTAACATTTCCAGGT